TTTAACTAAATATTTAAGTAAATATTTTACATATTAAAGTATTTAAGTAAATATTTTGCATCAACTTCCACATTCATTTTCACCAATGTAATGTAATTTAAGAAGCTTTGGGCAAACATGTAGATACACTCCTGCCAACAATTTCCCTGGATTTTTAAAAGAAATCTGTAAAATATACACATTTTGCTATTATTACCCTTAGGTAGTTTACTTCAAAATATTTTTTGCATAATGTACTGTTAGATTGAACTGGGCCAAATCAAATAATAACAATTAGTACATCTGAACACAAGGACTTCTGCTACTCTGTGGCAGGGTGAGAATTTTGCTAATAATATCACATACTTTTGGATACAGAAGAGGCAGATTGAGTCATGTTTTTAAATACCAGTGAAAATCCCTCTAAAGTATGTGGGATTTACTTCCTTCCTGTTTACTGCTCCTGTCCCTACTTACCAGCTGTGCTGCATAACTTACTGCTGAGCCAGGTCCAGTACATAAAAGGATGACTAGAAATGATCTGCCTGTCGTTGGCCAGCCTTTGATGCTGCTCATGGCTACATGCAGGAACGCATAATGGATATCAAGCAACTCTCCCCTTTCCTCTTGCTCCCTGAGGATGAAAACCACTGGGTCCTGTGGTGTCTTGTTTCTTGTGATACACCGCAAGTCTGCACTGCAGCATTGCCCCAACAGCATCCTTCCAGCTGACTGATCCCACCACAGAGTACCTGAGAGTATCTCCATTTCTGACACTTGATGCTGGCTGGTTTAGGTATGGATGGCACAATCCTCTCCAGGTGACTGAGAATTAACTGCTGCACCTCTGCAGGGTCTGAATCCAGGTGCTTGCTTCCAAATGTCACAGTTGTGTGAACTACAATTGAGGCCCCAATTTCAGGAGACTCTGAAATAAAGGAGAGAGATGCTTTTGAAAGATTACTCATCTGTACTTGCCCTCCCCGCATGCTGACAATCGTGCCTCTAGCCTAGGAGTCAGTAAGAACAAAAATATCGGTGCCACCATCCTGTTCATCCACCTGGAAAAAACACAAGGAGTCACAACACAAGTTGTTCACAAGACGCACACTGAAGAAATACAGGCTTTTTGCAAAATTCGTCGTAAGTTTCCCATGGCAGTAACCCTAGCTCCACATATGTCTCCCAGAGGAAACTCCAGGCATTCCCCCAGCCTGTAAGTAGCAGCTGGAAGGAGCAGGGAATATACTGGAAACAAACTCTTCCCTTTTTTCCTCCCAGACATTTCGACAGGCTCTACAAGGAGGGCAACCACCAGATAATTGTGGCAAACTGGCAAGAGAACAACAAAAAGAAACACGTAAAACTGCTTTGTAGGAATTTTTCCAGCCAAGTCTACAAACAGTAACAATTAGTGCCCCTACAACAGCAGGACACTTGGCAGCATGCAGTCGCAGCCGCCCAACTGCAGGCTCTTGCTTGGGTGGTAGTTGTGGAGGTGAGACTTCCCAAAGGGCTGCACTTGCAGCTGGGACTTGTGCTATCACTGGCAATGCTGAAGCTCACCCAGCCATGTGGTAAGATTAAGGTACTAGATGATACACCTTTGTTTGGGGGTATATGAAAGATTGTTCTTAGAAATGGAATGGCTCTGCTACTGCTTGCGGGGATTGATCCCCAGGGGCTCGGCACTCCGCTCACAGCTGAAGGCACATGAAGTCCTTTTGAGCGCAGCAGCGCACGCCAAATGCAAACCAAACAAACCACCTTTGCAGCCACCACAAGCCCGATGCACGCAAGCCACTGCTCTGGAAACGGCACGGCTCTGCCAGCATGCCACCTCCTCTGTCTGCAGGGCTGGAGGAGTGCAGCAGCCAGGTCACCACAGCCAATTTGCTTACTCACCTATATCAGACTAATTTATATTCTTCCTCCCCTGCATGTTTGAAATGCATGTCCCCTTAATGGGACAATCTCTGCAACACAGAAATACAGAAGACTTGAACATGAAATCATCACAGAATAAAAATTATCTTCAAGGCAAAGGACAAGAAAGAAGAGTGTTTGTTGCATTACTGTGAAAACCATCTGCTCCCTGCACAATTGTTTGCTTATTGTCCATGCAACAGTATTTACATAGTTGAAAGGCTAGAATAAAACCAATACTTTACATTTATGGAGGGAGAGACAGGGAACAGAAGCCAGGGCAGGTTAGCTTGAGAAATGAGCACTCCCTTTTGGCCTGCACAAGTAAATTCAACTTAAATTTTGCTGCTCTGGCAGCTTCCAGGAAATTGATGTGCAGTTGTCTACATGCACATTTTGGGGAGCGTGAACTTTTAATACAGCTTCTGTCCTCGGGCAAATATGTGCAAGTGAGCCAAACTAAAAAAAAAAAGGTTTGTCCCTTATTAATCAACCTGGCTGCAGTGCCAGGGGAGTAACTGAAGGAATCTCAAGTGCTGATGTGCATCCCAGCAGACTTGGAAATGGCCAGGCTTCGTTATGGTTGCAGCTGGTTGTAGGTTCTCTACAGCAAGGGACTTCTGTCCCTGCCAGCTTGTTGGCTTGTCACCTTAAAGACTTCATCTGGACAGCCAACAACCAGCAGCCAGAGGATTTACCTAGAACAGGGGCTTTTCAGGCTCAGTGATTTTCCTGTGCACAATGAAGACCCATCAGAACCTTGTGTGAGTCGTTCCTTCTGGTGCTGTTCCACTTCAAATGAGCAGAATGCATTTGCTAGAGCAAGGACATGACCAGGGTTCTGCTGTATTTCAGATGAGACCTCAAACTCACCGAGCTAGTCATTAAATGAAGTGATTCTCTCTTGCTCCATTAACCGGAAATTCCCTCTTTTGGAAGCAGAAAGACTTTTCTGGTTAAACTTCTGTTTGAATTAGCACATTTCTAGAAAAATATTTTAGTTTCAACAAATCAGCATTTTATCACCATGGAATCCACAAAGAAAGACACAGTTGAACACTTTCTGACCAGTTCTGGCTGTTAGGTACCAAGCTTGATAGAAATCTTTCTCTCTGCTGTGTCGGTGAAGAGATCCTCCACCTGGAGATCCCCTTTGAGAAGATGACAAATTCTAGCTTTCCAAAGGCAAATGACATCTTTCTCTGATAAGCTTTCTGTCCTGGGCTGACCACTTCAGAATACATTACTGAGGCACAGCAGTACGAAGTCCTAGCACCCACAGCAAGCACGAAAGCAATGACTTTAACTTCAGTTGGAAAGATCCCTTCACTGAGTTTCTTTCTGCGATGGGCCAGCTCAGTCAACCCTTACTCTCAAGAGCTGGGAAAACGTGGCAAAAAGGGTGTGAAGATGTTTCCTGGTTGTGGTCAGGAATGCACCCTGACAGGCCACGTCTGAAGGCACCAAGCCTAGTGCTGCCTTTTCTTAAAATTCTCCTTTTCCAAGTAAGGCATTTGTAAGAGCAGAAGATCACTCACATCACTCCCTGGTTTGGACTCCCAAGCTCTGTTTTCAGCAAAGAGCAAGAGCTCTTTTCCTGGGTGATATCCTGAAGCATCCAGAAACTTTGTTTCCTATTTTAATCTGAGGTGGTGATTTTGCCCTCTTGTGTCTTAGGCTTGAAAGTAAGCCTTAACCATTGGGGATGGACAGGTCCAAGATATCCAGCCAACGTAGACCTGGGATGAGGGCAAGCCAGATCGGGGGACTAAGACTGTAAAGTGAAACAAGGACCACTCTTGTCTAGAAGCAGTGGCTCAGCCAAAGGGGCCGTCTTCTTCCCTGAGCTCTAATGAACTGGTCGCCTGAGTGTGACATCCAGCCTCAGACTCATCTTCCTGAGATTCCTCCTGCCACCCCCAAGCCTGGTTTCACAGGCTAGCACAGGACATACCTGTGTTTGCATCAGCTTTGCCAACTGTCTGGAAAAACATCAGAAAAACTACTCAGTCTCTCCTTCCCACTTTGGTATTCTGACATCTCTACCTAGAGAATGCCAGGGACAGAAGACCAAGTGGGGAAGTCTGTTGTGTACTTTGGGATTTATTATAGTGTACATGGTATTTTTGAAAATTCTTCCACATAAACTTTGCAAAAAGGCTCATTAAAAGATGTCTAAGCATTTTGATAAAATAAATATTCATTACTTGCTGTGACTTGTTATAGCCAATGATTCTTGGACAGGGCCGCCTTCTTTGAGATCTTTCATCTCTTCCATAGCATGTACAAAACAAGTTTCAGGAGAACAGGCAGTTTGTTGAGTTTTTAATTCCTCCTTTGAGCTACTGATAGCTTGGAGAGCTTCCAGAGGCCACTGAGTCACAGCCTTCCAGTATTGAAATATGCAGCCTGCAAGGATCAAGTTTAGCCTCAAGTCCTTTCCTTTCTTCTGCCAAAGTACTGGCTAAGGGAGGAGTGTAAAATAGCTTTTTCCCTGAAAGCAATGGGGGTATCTCAGCCTTGATGCACTGGGTATGAATGACCATTCAGCTGTTGCAGGAGTAAAACCATCATTTTCCTCCCACTGCGTATAGAGCAGGCTGCAACAGCTAGCTCAAAAACGAGGTCTTCTGGCAGGGCTTCTCATGAGATTTTAATTTCCTTTATTTGTGGCAAGGATGCAAGCCATCCACGGCCCTGCTAGCAGATGATGAAGTAGCATGGGAGATGTGGCAAGGCCGGGAACACTCAGCAATGCAAGAGGTAATGATCTGAGGGTGAATGGAAGCATCAAAAAAGCTTTCATCTGCTTCCAGTTCTGCCTTCCTCTCATCCCAGCTACACGGCAATTAATCCGATCAGTTGATGCAGTGGGAGGCATAAGACGCCAGGCAGATCAGAGCTAGAATGAGACGGCAGAGTTGGCTGTAGCTTACACCTACTTAATGAGCAAGGAGCCATGTTGCCAGCACTGGCAGCGTTCTCGGCATCCGCAGTTGCTGAGGGAATCCACTGAAAACCTATGAACAGCGAGCTTGCGCCTGGTTCTCCTTGCTCCGTCCAGGCCATGCTGTATCACCACAGCAGTGATGCCAGCTGCAGCAGCTGGGTGCCTGCCCCCCATCCCCTCAGGCCTGCCTCTGTTAACTCGCACTGGGAGGAAAGCGTTTTTTTGTGCAGAGACCTTGCTGAGGCTGTGGCCAGGGAGGGAAGTGCCGGCATCATCGCAGTTTGTGCCCACGGTTGACTCTCCTCTTCCCCACGGCATAAGGAACTATAACTACAGGATTCCTTTGCTTCTCCATCAAGTTTTCCTTGTTTTACTGTTAATTTCTTTTGCTCTGCTGCATCACATCGGACCGACACAGGCAGACAGCAGATGCAAAATGACGAATGTGAGGATAAACGCATTCCTTTTAAGGCTCGTTTTGCTTCTACATAAACAGGAAAGAACTGTGCGATCCTTGGCGTATCACCCCATCCAGCCCAGCATCCCGTCCATGACAGAGAAGGTGTTGCAGGAGCTGCTACATCCATGCCTGGCCCAGCAGCAGTGGCAGGGGCTGTGCAGACCCTGCAGACTGTCGATCGGCTGGCTCGTGGGGATGGGAAGAGGGCCAGAACCAGACTCCGAGTGGATCCCAGATTTAACATGGCCACCCTCCTTGGGATGTCGTGGCCACCACGTCTTAGCCACCACCACTATCTACATGCAGTCGTTCTGAGCAGCCTGAAAGGGTCAACAGAGTAGTAGAGGTGAACAAATCCCATTTTTTTTTGTCTCAAAGTCAAAGTATGAAGTTCCACCAGTCCCCCACAGACAAGTTTAGTCCACAAAGACCTTACGGGAGACACTGAGGCACTTCAGACGAAAGTCCGGCTCTGCTGACAGTCTGATCAGCAGTGTCTTCCCTCTTAGTGACTCTGAAACCACATACATGGAAAAGAAAAATGTATTAATTGAAAAGACAGGAGATTAAATAAATGCAGAATTAAGTATGT